TAAACACAGCCACACTAAAACAAATTAACGTTACCAACCTTCTGGTGAAGTCTAAACGAATTAACGTTAACCTCTAATGTATGTAACAGATGCAAAATATTAAATTTCTCACCGTTTGTGGTGATTTCTTGTCGTTTGGTGAACCTCGAGACAGTCGAATACACCCTGTCATAAGGTTAGCATGCTAACCATGCTAATGACAGATTGACTGGCTGATGTTAAAGCTGGTCAACTTGCGCGAACTGCTCGCTGATAAAGCGCACGCATGCAGGCGATAGACAAATGTCTATTTAGTCGATGTAAAATACAAAAAGTATGAGTTTTGGCAGGCTGCGTTAGTGTAGTAGTTAATGTTTTGCGTAGCTGGTTTCGGGCCTCCCGTTAGCAGGATCTGACTGACGAACTGCGCACTGTGCGCAGCAACCGTCAGTGACGTCACATACACCCTTGTCAGGTGGCGCGCGCGCTTAAATTATAATAAACAAATATAGTCACCACTGACCATGACACAAGTAAACTATACAATCACACCAAATAATATCACAATAATATTTTTAAGTCAGTGTGCAAATGTTTCAGGGGGAGCCAACATATTGGCATATTGATAATGATATGTAATACAATAATGCAGGGCAGGCTAGTACAGACGAGTCTCATCTTGTTATAGGCTAATTATGTTTCAAACAAAGCAGCTCAGCCTTACATTGTGGCTTTGATACCTTCGAAATATATATTAATTATTATTGGAAAAGCAATCTGTGCTGTCGTAACCTTATGCAAATTCTTATCACTGTCCTCCTCGAAGATCCTTGTCCTGAATTTAACAAAATTGGGTCTTTCTCAAATCCAACATATAAACAGCACTGTACAGTGCCTGATAATCAAATCTGATACTCTTAATCTTAGTCACACACAATCACACTGAACTGTGTTTTAACTCTTTATTTTCTTTGATATACAGTAGCCTACATTCACAGTTTAAAAACCCCAGTTCAGGGCCTACAGTGAAAGTGAAACCTCAAAACGGCACAAGAATATTACATCCCTAACCTTTAAAACAAAGACAAAAGAAACTGTGAACACACCCTTTATGATATGGAAACATACTTCACATTATTCCCTCACATTCACATTATTAAGTTTTAATCTTACTCATAATACTCAAGGTCCCTTTTCAAACATGTAAAGAAATAAAAGACAATTGTTAGGTAAATTGTTAAGTATCTTTTTGTGTAATTATCTGACCTTAATTTCCCTTGTGAATCAATTTAGTATGTCTATAAGTCTTAAAGTTTGAATGAGAGGAGATTAGCATATAATCAAATCAAATAAGAATCAAATATGATGCTGAAGGTATCATTGAAATTGTAACTTTGGCATAACAGGTTTGGGGACATTGCTTTTGACACAAGGAAAGTACTTTATTATGCACTTGTCAAGCAACAGGTTTTATAATCACTGGTTTGATGATGATGATGATGATGACTATGGATCAATACAACAAACTAAGAGAGAAGAGGAAAACAAAGACAAAGGATGCAGCAGTGTATTTTGCCTTTTGGGCTTTAGAAATTAATTATGGAATTCTGACTTGGCATGGCATAATATTTTATTGATTATTTTGATAAATGCAATTCGTTTGTCAGTTGTTTTCGGACCTAGTCATTTCACATTGTAAATGCAAGCTGGTTACTAATACTGGTTACTGGAAATGTGTAAAAAGAACACTGTCATTTTAAGCTGAGGTAGAAAGGTACAAATCAAATTTAGTGTAAGTTCATAAATAATGCAAATGGAAAAATAGCATAGATTGAAGATAGAGGACAACCTGAAGTTTAACCAGAAAACTGGTGGCCAGCATGCAGGTATGGCAGTGTTTGTGGCAGTTAGCGTTGCTGGTATAGTAACTATTGACACTGCAATTCCTACTAATGTGAGGTTTGAGGTAGGATTAACTATAGTAGGCTATAGGCTTCAATGTGCAGTTGACTCAAAAAGAGTAGAGTTCCATTTATAAAGGCTAAAAAGATTGGTCACAGCATTTCATGCATATTATTATTGTCAAGAAACCTGTATCTCTCATATCAGAGAGGAGTGAATGTTCACATGACGTAACCACATTTCAGTGGAAAGAGAGGTGTACTTAGAGCAGAGTGGGAAGGTAACAGCATTCTGGGTCCAGTGTAATTATTACTGAAATCCAGGGGGTCAAATTGTTGGTGGGCTCAATGTGGACGCAGGCAATAGGGAAGGCACATCACTAATTCTTTATCAGGGAACCGGTTTACTATCCCAGGACATCTGACACTACTAAACTGAGAAAAAGACAAAATAAACCAAAAATTGTCATGTCAATGTACACTATCATTTAAAATCTTGGGATTGGAAAGATCTTAAAAAGATAAGTCTTTTTATTTTGACAAAAACACAGTAAGAACCATAATATTGTTACAGTTTAAAATAACTGTCTTCCATTTCTATATATTTAATAAAATGTAATTTATTTCTGTGGTGGCAAATCTGAATTTACTCCAATCTTCAATGTCACACGATCCTTCAGAAATCATACCAATATGCTAATTTGGTGCTCAAGAAACATTTCTTACTATTATTAATGTTGAAAACAATTGTGCTGCTTAATGTTTTTTTGAATACTGTGATTCATTTTATTTAAGTTTTTTTGTTTACTAGAAAGTTCACAATTTTAGCACTTGTTTGAATTAAAAATTTTCTTGTAACAATGTAAAGGTCTTAACTGTCACTTTTGATCACTTGTAATTCATTCTGAATAAATTGGATAACAATAAAAAAATCTTACTGACCCAAACATTTGAACACACACACACACACAGTATATAAAAAAAGATTTCCACAATACGTTACCTTTTTTAGTTGCTGCTAATACATCTGCACTTTAAGCAAATGGCGCTTGCCCTATGAATGAAATAAAAGAGTAACATTTAGATCATAAAAAGGAGGTTACAAGGTGTATCATGAGCATTCATTAAAAATACATGTCCTGGATGTCTTCAAATACTATATAAAAAACTTTGTATTCACCACTTTCTCTTTTGAATCCCTATTCAGCTAGTTTCAGGTCAGGTTTTGGTTAATCTACATTTTTGCTATCATCATGATTTAGTTAACTAGTTAACTCAGCATTGCATTGTTAAACCAGATTACCTGTTACCTGACCCGATGGCTCTTCACCATCATCAGGGGGTGGGATGATTCTGCCAGTCATGGGGGACACACCAAGCACCATCGGCTTCTTTTCGGTTTTGGGACCTCCCTCCAAGACAACCACTATGAAGTCTCGTTTGGGGTCTTCCAAAGCATCAGGTGCACTTGATGTTTCAGCTGGAGAAACCTCCTCTGCCACCACTGTGCTCACAACATCTGGTTCAGCCACTCTTTCTGTAACATCCACAACCGGACTGGCTGCTTCTTCCTCAACCACATGTACTGAAATCTCCACAACTGCACTTTCTGCAATCCCCTCTGAACATGCTGCTGCCTTCACTTCCTCACCTTCTTGTGCTTCTAGGACGACTACTGGAGCAACCTCTTCTGCTACTGTGGCTGCAGGTGTTTCCTCAGGTTCTTCAGTTACCAAGAAAACTGGCACCTCTTCTGGAACAGGTGCTACATGCATCTCTGGTACCGGTTCCACTACAGGGGCAACTGGTTCCTCTTCTGTCACTGGGTCAACCAGTACTTCCTCTTCTATCACAGGGACATCAGATGCTTTTTCTGAGGATACTGGTGAATCAACTGGTGTCTCCTCTGCTACTGGAGCCTCTTCTACCACTGCAGTAACAGGTGGATCCTCTACAACTGGGGAAACTGGTGCTTCTTCTGCCACTGCAGCAACAAATACTTCTGCTACTGGTGTCTCCTCTGCTGCTGGAGCCTCTTCTACCACTACAGTAACAGATGGCTCCTCTACAACTGGGGAAACTGGTGCTTCTTCTGTCACTGGAGCAACAGACACTTCCTCTGCTACAGCAGCATCTGGTTCCTCTTCCATCACTGGAGCACCGGGTGCCAGCTCTATTATTGGTTCACTTTCCACATTATCTGTTGAAGGCACCTCAGTGGGCTTCTCTGGTACACCTTCAACTGGTACATCTTCCACAGCTACAGACACCACAGGAAGAGCATCGACCACAGAAGCAGCAGCCAGCTCTACCGTTTCTGCATCTACTGGGCTGACCAACTCTGACGGGGCCACTGCAAGACACAATCAAGCCATCCAATAATCACACAAAAAAACAGACATCAGATGTTTGAGGTGACAAAATAATTATTTAGAGGATTAAGTTTAAATATTCTTTTTTTATAAATAATTATATTGCATTGTGTGTAGTTTAAAACAGCAGATGGATCTAGATGCAGACACAATGGGAAAGATAGAAGTGAGACTACTAAAAGTAGAGTGCAGAGGTTCATCCTCACTACAGTAGAGATAGATCTAACAGCACGGAAAAGAGCTTAAGTAGTTTAAGTAAAGTTCAAGTACATTAATATGATCTATGGTGTGTATCATAACGAGTCATCATAAGGTGTGTCAACACCTTGCAGCTCCATTTAGGAGTTTCCCCATTATTCAAAACATGCAGTACATGAAGAGGCTTTACTGCCAAATATCACCTAGAAAAGGACACACCACAAATTTGATCACCACAAAAATTAAGATATGAAACGTCTAACATTTTGTGATGGATTTTTGAATTTAGGGATGATTAACATAGACTAATGTACAGCATCAGGACATCAATGATCTTTACACTAAATTCAGCTTTTCATAAAACATTACTTTTAAAATAGAGGATGAACTTGCCAATGTTAAACATGTAATATTTCAGTTTGTAAATGGAGTTTTCAGAAAAAATTAACACCGAGAATATCTTTTTGATATTTATCCATAATTTTATTAAATGGCTTTGAAATCCCTTATTAATTTTTATTACACGAATGCATTTTTTCCAAGTAAACGAACAATTCCATTGAATCATATACATACTTGAGCTCCTTGGTAAGTTACTGAGTTCCTTGTCAGATCAGTCATACAGAGGAATATAAAGGGAAAACTAATACAGAAACACAGCTGGCCTAGTTGCTAGGGAGCAAAAGACTCACAGATTTCACAATATCAACTGGCGTGTACCAACTAAGTGATATCTGGCAGAGAAGCACATGTTTGGACAAATCCAAAAATCAATAACTGCACTGTTAAAAGTTATTACAGAACAAATAACAACATACAGCAGTACGTTTGCAGCTTTTCTGTGTCTTTGCGTGCAGTTGTGCCTCAAAGAAGAGGTAAGGCAGGACAGAAGTTAAAAATGACAGGAGGCTGGCTCAGATTTTGAGAGGTTGAGAAGACAAGAGAGTGAAACTGAGTGTAAGAAACAAGAACAGGAGTAGATAGTCTGAAGTGTGTCCACTGAAATGTTTGGTCACAAATGTAACAAAAAGCAGCAACTTTGGATTCTCACAGTGGTTTCTACAGTTATCATTATATAAGTTCATTAATATAATTTAAAAATTCCAGCAAACTCCAGGAATATAATGAAAATATACACAATCAGCTGTGTGCTGTTTAGTGGGATTACATTATTGCACCGCAAGGATCAAATCCTGTTCTATAACTCACCAATGGAAACAGAGGAAGTACAGTACGATGAGGACTATACAGTCAACCACATACACTATCCTTCAGTTAATGTCACTGAGCTCCTTACAACTTCAGTTAATGACTAAAGAATCTAATTGGAAGGGAGGAAAACTGAGGATAGATAGAGAGACCTGCAGGTCTGCAATAAAATCTAGCAAGTCTCTAAAATTGTTCAAGTGTCATGTTTTGTTCTTTCTTGAGATTTAAGGATGACATGTTCGGATTAAGTGAGACCGTGACCATTTTGCTATATAGGACATTTAAATCTTCTGGTTCTTGTGTGTGTAGGTGAGTGTTTGACTACCCAGGAGCCATTCAGGCCTCTGTACTAGTAGCCTCAGCTACTGCCTCCTCTTGGGAGGCTGGTGGCGTACCGTTGATCTCTGACACCGTCTCTTCAGCTTGGATGACCGGAGTAACAACAGCCTCAGCTGCTGCCTCTACTTCCTCTGCAACCTTCTGCACTTCCTCTGCCACCGCTGCCACCTCCTCTGCCGTCTCAGCAACAACCCCTGCCACCTCAGCAACCACCTCTGCAGTCTCTGCGACCATCTCGGCAACCTCTTCCACAACGGTCTCAAGGGTTGCCGTCTCCTCTCCAGTGGCCTTGGCTGTTTCCAGCAAGACCTCAGGTGCTTCAGCAGCTACATCCTCCTCGGCTGCGCTCTCTACGCTTTCTGCCACCTCTCCTTCCTCTGCACCAGCTTCTTCTAAACAGACGACAAAGGAGGAAAACCTAAGCATTCAGCTACGTTTCCATTTATTTTAGCATTCTTCTAGTTCATTTTGAATCTCACATAGAAATGACCAGGTCAAATTTATCCCCAAAATAAAACTAAAAGGATATGAAATTATATTTTGCCTAAAGAAAATTAAACCCATTTTAAGAATATTGAGATTGTTTTACATTTTTTTTAATGACAATTAAGAATATTTTGCAAACAAAATATGATTATTTTTACTTTTTTATTCATTTAATACCGTATCATAATGGTAGAGTAATTCAAATCACCCTGTCCAGACACAATGATTTTTTCTTAATCTATATTAAAAAATGATAAATTAAATTCAGTTCAATTAATACTACCATGATATGTTTTTAGAAATTAGATAAATTGCATTTTTTCTCAATTTATTATTTCTATAATAAATAATAATTATTTAAATATTAAATAAATTTTTTCTTACATTACATTTATGAATAAAGAGAAGTAATAGAGCTTGTAAAATAGCAATACCTACACATTATTACCTGGACATTTATTGACAGTTTTTGTAAGGTGGTACTATAATTTAAAATATCTATGATGACTTCCGTATATTAATAAATGAAAAATGTGTTGAGATTTATACTAATTGCAACTAATTACTCAAGGAAAATTAAATGTTTAATATTAATCATTTTAGTAACGTGTGAAAAATGTAATTATTTATTATTTAAATAATTATTTAATTCTAAAAATAATAATGATAAAAAAGTACTTATTTAATATGTAATTTATGCTAATTTCCTAGGAACATTTGCATAGCTAAGAAACATTTACTTTGTCACCATGCCTTTCTCACGCACACAACATCCATCTTACCAACCTGGAAATACCTCATCAGAAGGGTATACAAGGAATATAAATCCAGCTTTGTCAAAATCACTCACAACATAATCACTGAAGGCAGCATGCAAAACCCAAGAATGAGGAGGGAGGGAGTAAAGAGAAATTGAACAGAAAAAATAGGGAGAAAGGGGCTAGGAGGACAAGTGAGGAGAAGGAATACAAAGATGGCTGAGCCTTACCATCTCTTCAAAGCTAGCAGTACCAGCAACTCTGTGAATTCCAGCAACACAGAATGACAACCAAAGGGCTTTGTTGTGCGTGTTTAATAAGTTAACCCACAGAGGGTCTCAAAGCTTTCTTTTACATGTCTTTCGCCAATTTCTACTGTATTACACCACAATAAACATTTTAAATAAGGGTTTCAAAGTCAATGGAATGAAGAGGAACTTAAAAAGATAAATATTAGTTCAATGAAATAGCAGGACTCATAATGACAATAACTCAGGAGAGAATCATCCAAAAAGTCCTGACTGAAGACTACAGGTGCCCAGCCCCGACTGTCCAAATTAGTTTACTCTGGAAAGAGTCAGAACAAAGACACAGTTAGGAAAGTAAGGAAAGAGATTAGTTAAGAGTTTTGAGTTCGTTGTTCAATATCATGATTTCATTGTTCTGTTTTGGCATTTGAAAGACTACATATGTGACTGACCACAGTAGCAGAAAACCACTGTGCTTAGTGCTATTGGCTGGCTAGTCTTTCTGGACTGGACTGCAGTGATTAATAGAGGATCACAGGTAAATAAGTAGGGAAAGAGGGTCGTGAGAGATAATGGGAGTGCACAGGGGTGCAGACGGATCATATAAATGGTTTATTCAAGAGGAGAGTGACACAGTGTCAAGGAGAACTACACCCAGTTCTGATTAACAGGCTTTCTGACAAATAGGATCAGGGGATCAGGTGGGTTAGAAGGGTAGGACATGAGGACAACTACTCAATCCAATCTCAACGACACCAAGAAAAAATATGCAGGGCTTCATCAAAACCAATAAATAAGGCTTCCTCTGCCTTTTTAGCTCACTTTTCTGGTTTTCTATTTGAAGTTTGTTGAACTGATGAAGTTCTAGGCTCTCAATAATCAAGAATTTTGTTTTTGCAGTTTATCCATGAGATAATCTACCCATATCTGCCCATTGTAGTGCCATTATAGGATATTTGTAAAACTTAAAAATTAAGTTGATCCTACTTGGCATAGAGCAAATATTAATCAGATCAGGTCTTAATCTATGTGCCAAGAATATAATCATTGTCCAGTGTTTTGCAGCTATCAGCCAATAAGATATCAGGATCGATTTAATGGGAGGAGACGAGGGTGCTAGTGGGCGACATCATTTAGTTACCCTCTGAGTCTGACCCTATAATACATTTCCAGATTACTCATAAATAACTCCCAAACATACTTGTTATGCAGCAGTTCAGACCATGCAAGTTAAAGCACAAGTTAGTTTTAGCAAAACATTCTAAATGGTACCCACTGACAAACAGATGTGTTACATAGACATTTAAGTCAATTTAAATATCAAAGGTATTTATTATGGAACATCATGGAGAGATTATGACAAAACCACATATAAACTCACCATCACCATTCTCCCCACCTAAAAAGAACAACAAAAACATGAAATGTTACATTTTAATCTGAAATCTGAACCTGCTGTATAAAGCTTTCTGTCAACAGTCACTTACTCATATTAGACCGCATAGCACATTATGTCCGCTTATTTAAAATACTTGAATGAGAGAGAGTGTTGTAAATCTGCTGTCATTTAGATAAGACTGTTTAATAGTGCTTTGGCTCAGACGCAGGAGTGTTAGATAAGCTTGGATATGATACAAATATTCAAAGTGGTGGACGTGGTTTTGGCAAGACTGAAATGTGTACTAAGAGGGCAACATGTCTTTTGTTGTGGTTGTAATTGTGTGTTGGAAGGGCAGCAGTGGATTATTTATTGGCATCTGCAGTAGATCTCGTAGATATGTGCAGTAGATAAGTTGACAATTAAGATCAGTAGCCCTGATGCCACTGAGAATGACACTTTTACGGTTACTATCAGTGATGTGTGAAAAGCATTGGTTTTCATTTAATATCTGCAACAAAATGCCAAAGATTATGTATGTTACCTTATGCCTGTATCTTTCACCTTCACATTTCACTATAAACTTCACAGACATGAGAAGGCTATACAACCAGTTTTCAACTTTCTGTAACTAGATAAATCATTTTCATTTATACACCCTAGATTTAAAACTAGTCATCTGAATACTAAAAGTGACATTGGCTGAAGTTACAATGCTGAAAGCAGAACTGACACTGTGAAAACAACCAGACTTACTCTTGGGCGGCCATGGTTTGGGTTTCCACTCAGACTTGGGACGAGCATTAATTTCAGAAACACGATCAGCAAAGCGTTCTTTGTCTGTTACAAGTGTTTTGTAAACCTATCATAGAATTCAAAAAGATATTAATTCAACATATTTATGATCTGACATCAATCTATATCAATGGTTTGAGCTTTTACCATACTTACATATGCCAAGGAACCGGCGAAGGCTCCACCACAGAGGACGGCGTACAGGAAATTCTCGCCTGAGCCACCAGGAACTGATGACATGAGCCTCCGTGGAACTACTGCATAGAGAACAGAGGAGTAAGGGAACGATTTTGGATCAACATATTAGTTGAGGCAACGATTACGGTCTTATTCGAGAGCTGTGTCCCCCGCAGGTCGCAATTGTCGGCCACATTTCTCTAACTCTCTCTCTCTAATAGAGTTTTAATAGTGTAGGCTAATAGAACTGAAATATTATTTGTATTTAAGAGTTAATGTTTTAGTTAAAGTGCCTGGCACAGAGATTGACCTTCATGGCAGTAATATGGAGGTCCTGAGCTGCTTCCTGCCCAGTAGGTCACTGCCTGATTGGATTCCTGTCAATGGTTTTAGGTACCTATAAATATGCCTGTCAGCATTCATCTGGATTTTGAAACATTAACTGCATCAGAAATTGCATACTTCCCTACTATATAATTGGCGAAAAACAGTATGTGACAAAAGTAGTATGTCCGAATTCACAGTATACTCATAAAAGAGTAGGCAAAAAGTACCCGGATGATCTACTTCTTCCGATGAGATTCTGAAGTGTGCATACGACACTTTACTATCCCATGAGGCCACAGGAGAGGATTTGTGAATGGCAGTGAAGAGACAACTGACCCTGATAGTCACATGATAATGACAACATGGCGAATATACGTCCAGATTACATTCATACTATATAGAAAGTACTTTTTTAGAGGTCGTGAAGTAATTACTTATTCAAAATAAGTGCCTACTGCCTACTTAAGAGAGTATGCGATTTCGGACGCAGCCATTATGTTTTTGCATTTCCATGACTTTAAATTCAGTAACTCTTTATATAGAAGTTTATCTCCAACAGTTATTTTTATATAACATAAGTATTGCAATGATTATTCTACATGTATAAAGATAATTATGCATTATTTATTTGTCTATTTTCTTACCTAGATAATTGTTTAATAACCAAATATTCAATTTTATATACTATAATTGAATGACTGTCTCAGTACAGACAGTTTCTTGTCCTAAAAAAAGTTCAAGGAATTTAGATTTAGAAAACCATCAGTGCAGAACAATCATGATGATTGAAACACAAAGATCCATCTGACATGGCAGAGGAGCCTTTTTTCAGGAGTCTCTTCAATATTCTCATTAAGATAATCCAGTCACTTGTGCCCAGCTAGAGTAAATGGGTTCTAGACACCTCCATGTTATTTATACCAACTAATCTGTTAATCTTTCCTAGGAGTCAAAGGGTGAAGCAAACAGAAAGTGAGACATGCTTAGTTAGACCACTGGGAACCAACTTGAGTTTTTCAATGTTAGATGTTGATCAATATCTAGGTTGGCAATGGCCAATATAATACCTATATTTACATAAAACAATTGAACCTTTATTTATATAGCGCTTAACAACAGCAAATAAGACACAACTGCTGAAATTAAACAAACATGTATTTCACACAATAAAGATTTTCACAATATGGTCGTCTATGTCTTATATTGACACCTAGTGGTGTGGAATTGGATGCAGCATCAAACAAAACAAAAGGCTTTCAGTTACAGATGCTACTAGAAATGCCCTGTTTGCAGAAAGTCACAATTATTTTATTCTGCATGGGAGTGTCCAATACTATTTTTATTTTAACAATAGGCCTGCTATATTAAAAGGATAGTTCTCCATTTTACAACATAATCATCATTTACTCGACTTAATGTTAGTTGAAAGCATGACCTGTTTTCTTAAAACATCTATCCTGCAAATCACCCTCCAAAAAAGATTAATCACAGCTTGATACTGGAACGGTTGAGCGGACAAGAATTAAAATGAAAGGCTTTAAGCAAGTGGTGTCTGACAAGTAGGCCTACCGTCCAGCCGTTAATGGCTATTTGAGGAGATATTTAGTGGGTAGGACAGACACTCTGATTCAATCTATGCTTATGTTGCTTTTTTCAACAGATTTTTCATGATGTAATATTCTTATTAACTGCATTACAAACATGCTAACATAGATTTTCACAAACATTGATTCATTTAATACATTCAAGCAACAACAAGGGCAGACAAGTGTCTTGCTTTAAGAATGTGTCCTCCTTGTTTATTTAAACAACTAGGGTTTCCCAACAGGGGTCTATGAGCCCTCCTGGAGTACATAAAGTGGGGGGTCTGTGAGTTTAAAATGCAAGTGCTAAATTCAATACAATAACAATAAAAGCATAAATGTTTAAAAGACTAACTCAGGGTTTGGGTGACAAAAAAAAAGTAGAGAACCCTGAACCCTGAGGCAATCATTAATTCGGAATAGCATACTAGAGCTAGCAAACAAACATTCTGCTTGATGAGTATCTAATAAATACATACTAGTCACAATTGGAATACATAGCTGATTTCTGAATGATAGATCTCCGAATGATAGATCTCCATAGAAGTCAATGGCAAATATTTTAAGAGTGTTACTAGTGACAATGAAATGGTTCCTAGTCACTACTGAAATAAGTACAAGTATCTAATAAATTAGTAATACTAATAGTAATCTATTTAAAAGGTACTAGTATCTACACTGAAAAAGACTTGAAACTATTTTCATGCAGAAATTTACAAAGCCCCTAAAGGGACATTGTGGAGGGGGAAAAAATGAGATGGTAGGGAAAATAATAAGTCAATGCTTTTGTTTTCTCTTAAATTTTTTGCATTTCCCCCAAGTTCTTTGCGACGTTTCTCTGGGGAACGCAATATTTTTGCGAGGGAACGCAAAGGTTTTGTATGATATGAAATAGTTTTTTTTCTTCCAATCTCATTTTTTCCATCACCATGTCCCTTAAATGCTCCGTACAAATTGAGAGTACATTTAAAAAATAATTACAAAGAAATAGAACAACTGAAATAGTATGTTCTTTTAAAACTTACTTTAACTTAACTTTGTCTACTTCAATTTTTATTTTTTATTTTTTTACACTGTATAGGTGCCCATCTAATAAATAATATCTAATGAATAATAGTATCTTTAAAAAAATAAATAATACTAGACCTTATGGAATTGATACTAGTAGGATAAAAAATATTTTTAGAATTAATTGTTAAAACGGCTTGCCATATAGGCAACACAGCCACTGAGTTCCATAGGTCCGCTTGCAGTCTATAGCTCGACCACGTACACAACCACGTGAGCTATACGTAAAACACAGAACACCCTACACTGAAGGTCAAAAATCAAGCGGAGTATGAATATTTAAACCATGATGTCAAAAAAAAAAAATTCAACCGATTCCCTATTACGCAAGTTCGTGTTTCATAATCCATTTAATGACGACAGAATGAATTTGACAGACATTAATCGAATCATATTCAAGAGTGAAGAGTCAACAACTAACCTAACTTTTCACAACGTTTAAAATGCAGTGATAGGTCGTGTATTTTGAATTATAAATCTGTGCAATATGAATATTGCTGCAGATATGCAGTTCCCAAGATGGCTACATTCTTGTGAGCTTGGTGCCAGGCTGCGGTTTTAGATGTGTACATTGTGTTCCCTGCAAATGACACGGCGAACATGTGTTAGTAGTAGTAGGAGGCGTGTAACCTCTGACTGGCAATAAAACGTGACAATTATCTCAAAAGCCATTTAAAAAAAAAAGTGAAGTACCAATAGGCTCCGACTGACCTTCATGTCCCCTTAACCCTAAACTACATGCCATCGGGCCAAACAATTGTACATTATGATACAAATCAGCTCAAACACATTCTCAATGTAAACTAAAGTTGAAATGCGTGAAATAACAAAATTAGCAGATCGCGAAAGCTTAAAACACAACAAATACACTGCAAATGATATGACTAATAGATATAAACAAAACTTAAAGAGACAGATAAGACGGTCCTCACCATCTCTGTAGAGGTGAGCACGGTTGATGGACAGTCGTGCCAGAGGTCCACCACACCTCTGCCAGGATGCTCTGCACGCAAACATGGTCCAAACTGCCACTGCCACGGGAGGAAAGCAGCGTGAGAGTCCAATGGAGGTGCAATGAATGACTGTGTGACAGTGCGGAGATATGCGGAGGGGGAGGAGTGAACTTGAGGGGAGGAGAAAATGCTCATCGAATCCTCCCTCTTGATGGATTCACTGGCACGATGGCCTTAAAGAAATTAAGTAGTTGTATTTACTCAAATGCTTTTTAGCCACATGCGTATCGGCTGAATTTATGTTACAGACTTTTTTTTTTACATCGCAAAATCACTGGAATTTAAGTTCCACAGACTGACACCTGTTTACTAAGAATAATGGTACCAGCAAACACTGAACAACTCCCCTTAAAGGGATAGTTCACCCAAAAATTAAAATTAGCCCATGATTTACTCACCCTCAAGTCATCCTATGATATGACATTCTTCTTTCAGATTAATACAATCTGAGTTATATTAAAAAATGGCCTGGCTCTTCCAAGCTTTATAATGGCAGTGAATGGCCGGTTTCTGTTTTAAGTCCATAAAAGTGCATCTATCCATGATAAAAGTGCTCCACACGGCTCCGGGGGGTTAATAAAGTCTAAAGTAAAACTAAAAAACTAAAATCTAGCTTCCTACACAAGTCGACTTACGCCAAAAGAGTAACACTTGATGATGTATGACGTAGGATGTAGGAGTAGCGTAAGAACTCTTGTGGTTCAAACAACAAACTCAAGCTCCTCCGACATTTCCCTTTAAAAATTCTCGTTTTAGACTTCTAATACGTGACTGGTGTTTTGTTTTGCTCTATCCTCTGCGCTTCCACGTTCGTCAATGCTTCGTGCGTCGGGTCAAGTGTTACTCTTCCACCGTAAATCGATGCATACGGCCGTCTGTTGGAAGCTAGTTATTTTAGTCGATAAAGTTTTAAATATGGATATTTTTCTTACACGAACACATCGCTTCGCTTCAGAAGGCCTTTATTAACCCCCTGGAGCTGCGTGGAGCACTTTTATCATGGATAGATGCACTTTTATGGACTTAAAACAGAAACATTATAAAGCTTGGAAGAGCCAGGACATTTTTTAATATAACTCCGATTGTATTCATCTGAAAGAAGAATGTCATATACACCTAGGATGGCTTGAGGGTGAGTAAATCATGGGGTAATTTTCATTTTTCATTAGTTCAATAACTAATTATTGATTGATTGATTTTTGGGTGAACTATCCCTTTAAGTTAGTAGGCTATATGGTTTTTGGTTATTTTGATCCCAATTCTTATCTTCCAAGAACATTCACATGGATATTTAAGTGACAACCTAAGAACCAATACATTGTCTAATGTTTTTTTTTTCAAGGTTTCATAACTGAAAACTGTTCCCAGAATGTTGCAGAATAGTTTTTGTGACAACCATCGGTTTGCTACTTTAAAATGTTTATTATACTATTGTTCAATAGTATGTCTAAGTACACAATGTGCTTAGCTGCGTGTTGAAAAGCTGTACGGAGTAATAAAACAAGACATTGTCCAAAGCTCTGTGGCCTATTAATTAGTATACTATAATGAGACCTTGGCAAACAATATTTACCATTACATCTAACATACTTGCTGTTTTACCTGACCACATTAATCTAATTGACTCCATACAATCTTAAAAATTGAATTTTGGGATATCACTGGTTTGATGACACTAAATGTTGAAACAACTGACAATGATATTTACCTTATACACTTAGGCCTGGTTTCACAGGCAGGGCTTATGGCGCTTTTCCACTGCTGGTACGGCTCAGTACGGTTAAGACAGGATTAGACATTAGTTCAATTAGGACATTTAAGTACCTTTTATAAATGTGCTTTAGTAAAAAAAACATTAATGGTGTGCATCTTGAGATATATCTTAAAATTTTAAAGATATGTCAGTGCATATTGCTTTCAGTTAAAACAGCTAAAACATGCATTTAAGTCTGGGACCAGGCTTAAACCTTATCTGTGAAACTAGGGGACAATTTGCAAGAATGATTCTGTAATTGTTTTGCTTATAAACCACATCATTACACTGAATTGAAGGGAACAAAGGGAAGCCATATGTATTTAATCTAATATATCTCGACAACTCATGTTAGCTGGAGCCAGGAGAGAGTGACTAGAGGCAAATATACACAACTTTATTTAACATTATTGTACATCATTTAATAGCAGAGGAACATCGAAACAGGAAAAACAGAAGATCCATGAAGCACAGAGCAATCAATGCCCTAAAGAGGAAAAAAAACAATGACTATTATTACTTCATTAGCATGGCATCATCTCACGTAAAAAAGATCAATTAACAGGTATGTTATTTAGTTTTTTATATATATATATATAAAAATAAAACTTCAACAACAGACATACATTTTTAGATAACTGCTTCAACAACTGGCATTTTGGTTTCACAAGGTTTCCAATCTCACACCGAATAAGGAAATGGTAATGGTTTTACTTACATGGCCTTGTGAATTACTCTAACCCATTCCTTGTTTTGTACTCATGCACATCAGTGCTGTGTTGCTTGAACAGCTGGTGGGGAACAGAGAGAGTGTTTAGGAAACTTAAAAACAGGTGTAAGTTTGTGTGCATGTATGAGATATCATTTAAAATGAGTTACCAGTGCCCACAAGACAGCTGTACTTCCAAATGCCAGTCCTACTCTCAGCATGTTTGGCTTGGAGGGATCAGGTTTGGATGCTGTATAAGCATTTCTACTAACCACTGAAAAAGAGAGAAAAGCGATCATCAAAACAATCTATATTTAATGCAGTCTGATTTTTTTAGACAGTTTTAGTACCTGTTATATCTAAGTTGATAGTTTGTATATGAATGGATTTATTATCAAGAAGACAAAAACAAAATTTGTGAAAACAAATCTTTGTCCTTTGCTTGTAATTCACGAACACCTGAAAATGGCCATATCATTAAGACATACCTACTAGACTGCATATATATATGGACATTATAATGTGCACATTTTATTCTAAAATGTTAAAATAAATATACATATATATAATATATATATATACCTCATACATGAGTTGTAAATGCATTGGGTGCTGTGTTGCTAGTCTTGCTAAGCTAAGAAAGGTCAGGCTATAACGTTACTCCTTTGCTAAGATAAGGCGAGTGAACAAATTTACCAAGTAAATGTACTGGGACTATAATGTACGCCAAATACAATTCGCATAGCCGTACTCACTCTTATTGACAGTTGAAGTCCGCAAAAATAACCGGCCGAGAAGCATTTTGACGGTGTTTCTCTACCAGACAAAATTCGATCTTTGCTCGATTGTCTTTCCTTCCTGCAGCCAGGACTGGATGACCTAGTGGCACGTAGAGTAATCGATCACCAATGAAAGACCTATGTGAAAGATTCATTGTTCTTCTTCTTGTAGGATTCCGGCAGTGTAGACACTACTGAGCGTATTACTGCCCTTCACAGGTCAAAGTTTGAACTAAATTCTTACACACAGTCCTGTGTCATGCAAGAACTGAAGAACTGCCTTGGAGATCAGTTTATGCTCGTCACTGTGTCCAAACAAAGATAAAACAGAAAAAGCCTCCAAGTCCAGCCAGTTTATTTCTTTCTGCCCTATACTTTCTGCATTCCAGGAAAACATGTGTCTCAAAACTCCCACATTCACAAGCCATGCTACAATGCAGAAAGAATAATTTAACCCACAGTGCCCCAACCTCAATCTACACATTTTAACTGTGTCCCTGCGGGACAAAAAGTTACAGGAACATCTTTTCCTAACTTCAGGTTGTATAGAAAAGTATGTCTACCCCTAATTTCCTTTTCCCACCCTGTCTGCCATTCTTTTATTAAGCCCTCTTTAATTTGTTCTCTCAGTTCCACTCTCCCTAATAATACATGGACATCTTCTCTTCCTCTCCTTTGCAATGTTATCCACTTGCTCATTCCCTCTCACCCCAGCGTCCTGGGAACCCAGCAAACCTATAGCTCTAAAAAACACATTCAAGATGCCATTTACAATGTCAGGACAAGCTTTAGATTTTCCTACTCTGAAATATTCTGCTGCAGAATCAGAGCAGATGAGGACTTCTAGGTTTCACTAACTCAATTCACCATAGAGCCCATAAAATTAATTCAGCAGTGAGAACAGAGCTTCCATTAGAAATACGTCGACCAATATGAAAGACTCATTCACCTCCATACTGTGTTTTGTGATTGGAACAAAGTATACAGCAGTATACAAAAATATACAAATGCATACAAATGTGCCAGAGTGAACATAACAACCATTCATTGAAAACTCTATTTCATGAAAAATATCAAGTCCTCTCTGTAACTGACATCTAGCTTTGACCCTGACAATTTATTTTTGTGTATGTGAAATTTTCCTAAAAAAAAAAAACAAAAAAAAAAACTTGAATATAAAAAAATAATATTAAACTTTTAAATAAAAAAATAATTATTGATGTTTTCATTGGAATAATACATGCATATTGTATAATAATATGCATAATAATCCTGTCTCAGAAACATTGATTATAATTATAATAACGTCAAAAAGGCAAACTGTCATTTTCTTACACTTTGTGTATTTATTTCATATAATTATATATCTTAATTTTATAATATATATATATAAATAAATAAATAAAAATATATAAAAACTATTTCATCCCCGCCTCGGAAATGCTGCACACTCGACGCATGCGCAGTTCACCGTTTGACCCGGGGAGAAGCACCGTCGCCATTTTGGTTCTGAAGGGGGGCCTGCTGTCACCACGTGAAGTCGAGGAGCCCCAGACAGCGAAGTTCGGGGGGCTTTTACGATACAGCAGACAATCCGGCCAGACGATCGCAGATTCCGATTCATGATTAGAGCAAAGTCACGGTGATCAACACTCAAAAGCTAGAAGCATGCCTTCGATAACTCTACCGCCGAAGGAGAACGCTCTCTTTAAGAGAATATTGGTAAGTTGGGGGAATATATCTGCAAACGAACGCTGGATCGTTAATAATAGAAAGGAAGCGTGTGCCAGTCGGCTTCCTATTTTAGCCAGGATCTCTCTCTGCTGACCTCACGAGAAACCTCCTAAGAGTATT